GTGAAAGTAAACAAAGGAAATCCCTGCCCTGATGGGCTTACATTCTACGTAGTAACAGAACGTCCCTTAGTTGATAGACATTTGTGTATGGGTTTTCGTTATGAACAGGTAGAAATAGGGAGTTCTGGAGGCTTTCTTTCTCTGTTTTTCAAATTGCTGGGTTAATTTCACAGTGGCTGAGTGACTTTTCTCAGTTTTCTGGGAATGAGTGCTGAACAAAGAGGATTTTTACTAATTTCTTTAGAATATGACTGAAAGTAGACCGTTGTTTCAGCATCAGACACTGATGGAGTGTTGGGTGACAAAGACAAGAAATGATCTGCTTTCTTCAGGGGCTCATAAACTAGTGAGAGAGTCAGATACACACATGAATGACTCTAATCAAGACTAACTTTGATAGATATAATAAAAGAACAAAGAAGCAGGAGAAAGAAAAGTGCCTTGGGCAGAGAACAAAAAGGAGAGGAAAAATCAAGAATGTGAACACAAAGGGTAAAGAGAGAAGGGAAGAGATAAGGAAGGGGCATGTGTGATGTTCAATTGAATTTTTGGTATTTTGTAGCTGCCAAGTAGGTTTGCAAATTTGAGAGGTGGGGACTGGGAGATTGGGAGTGATAATGCCTTAGTTTTGCTGAAACGACTTTCTAGGCTGAAGACAGAGCTGCCCTCACCTGAGGTACCACATCAGCAAACCAAATACAACTTTTGTACCCCTGTAAATTCTCTGACCAAAAATGCATATATCCAGTCGGCCCACCCCAAGCACCAAGTCAACTCTGTACTTCTTTCCTTCTTCCTTTTCACCCCAAACAAGGTTAAATATGTGGCCTCAGCCAGATATTTTCTATTTTTCTCCTCTTTGTTCTTTATCCTATAAAAGTTTCCCACCTTCTACCCCATTTCATGGTTCTCTGAGGAGACTGCCCACTTCACAAAGTGTTAAATAAAGTGTGTTTATATCACTTAAACTGTCTTTTATTTTTAACAGTTCCCTCATTATGAGTAGGCTCTGCTTTTGGAGAAAAGCATTGTTAGTAAGTAAATGAAATATAACTTTTTGTAACATATTTGACTTTCTTCGTTATTTTAAGTGTCTTCATGTTCAAACTATATTTACTTGAGTTCAAAAAACTAAACATTTTTTTGAGTATGAAAAAAGTAACTAAGAATTGGGGAGGAATAATTAACTGATGAGACAATATCTAATTAGTTATAATCAACAAGCAATATGTTTTCTTCTCCATACCCCTCTCATCACACACAGAAGACAATGGTAGTTTTTATATGTAATTATAATGTGAAAATTACTGTTCCCTGTGGTAAGATATTTTTTACAATGTGTATGTGTGCATTTAATTTTAGTAGACATTAATGAAAAACTACAGTTATTTGAGTTATGGGATAATGTATCTATAAGCTATATGGATAAAAACATAGTAGCATCTGGAAATAGCTAGAACTATGAAATTATTTTTCTACCCTTATTTTATAGATGAGAAAACCAGACTAAGAAAATTAAGATCTGAGCCAAACTCAAATTTTTGACCACCCAGGCCAGTGCCTTTTTCTAATGTTATACATTCTGTGAGAAAAAGTCACTGGTAACAAGGGTATGTTGCTTGATCTCAGATATTTGTGGATACTGCACATTCTAAGCACCAAACTTCTTTCCTGATTTATAGAATAATGCTCTTAAGAAGAACTTAATAAAACAGCATGAATTCCTCAGAGAATAGTGTAAATATTGATTGTGGATTAATTATGAGTTAGCAATACAGACTGACTTTGATTAAAAGGAAATGGAAGGTTTAACAAGCCACAAATTAAAGACTGAGGCACCCCTATTAAAAGACTGAGGAGAATATGAATATTACAATGAGCCCAGGATTAAAATTCACAGCTCTTTGAGCACTGAATTACCTTACTTAATAGTTGGTGTACCATCAGATCCCTTTGGACCACCTTTATGTGTTCCCGCTCCCAATCCCCCCCAACCAAGTGCCTATGGTTTTTTTTTTTTTTTT